ATGGCCGATTGAGCCCGTTCTAGGTAGTTTGATCCATCAAACTTAACTGTTGTAATCTGAAAGGTATTCTCAGACATGTTACCAGAATTGCTAGTCCCAAAAACACCTTCCCCTTGACTCTTGAACTCCACTCTTGATCAAGAATTAATAAAAAACCCTTTTTTAATAAATGTAATAGGAGAAACAACACCCAAACAATTGATAACAACCAGCCTAGGTCTTCCAAAGAACACAGAAAACAGAATTCTGAATGAAACCAGTTCAAATTCTGATTTGAAACAAATAACAGTTCTGAATTTTAGGGTTTTCTCTCAAAACCCTAAAGAAAACACAAAGATTTTCTAGCCGCACCTTTTAGACTAAACCAAGATGATCTTTTCTAAAGTCAATCACACGAAAAAAGCTTACTTTATGAAAAATTCCCTGGCCGCCACCTTCTGGTTGATGCAAAACCCTAATCTTGAGGATCCGAAGCTTCTTCTGATTCTTCTTGACTACCGGAACCCTCCCAGACTTCTATAATCTCTTTAGTAGCAGGCACACACTACCAGTAACCTCCAAGAATCAGTCGATCCTCCTTCCTTGTTGAAAAACTTCCAAACCTAGGAGGTTCTCATGTAGTCGGCCTAATCAGACTAGCATAAGAGCTCCTAGGTCGGCTTTGATACCAAGTAGTCAATCTAGACTACAATCAGTCTTGAATTTAAAAGAAAAAAGAATGAAAAATTGAAGAGAAGAAGTACACAAAGAGAGTTTCAGAAAAAGAGAGGGAAGGTAATGATTTCAGCTGACCCACTCTTAGTATTTATGTAACTGTAAAAGGGCTGAATTGCCCTTATTGCTTACATGACAAATAGAATAAGAAATAACTAATAATAAAGCTGAAATAACTAACTAAAATAACTACCAACTAACACTGTCATATCTAACAGAAACATTGCTGCCATACGAACACTATGGGGACCACATCAGTCGGGTCCACATCAGTGTTCTCTACACAACCATTTAGAGCAGAAGCCCAGATCAATAACCCTATATTGTTCATTTCATACACTGTGCTATAAGGTGGCTCTTACTATAAACAAAGGTCCAAAACATTTAGAGGAATTCATAAATTATAAAGAAGGGTAAAAAATGGCAATTTCTACTATATGCCTAACTCCATACACTATTTTTTTGTTTTTTTATTTGGAAAAGGTAAGGTATTCAGCTCAGAAAAACATACAATCTGGGATCAGACCCAGAAGGGCAGCCTGAAAACCACAGCAGTTACACTCTCCACCAGAAATTAGAGCAAGAAAAAGAAGACAATTTTTGAATTTTGAATTCCTTAGATACAGATACCAAGAAATCAGCTTGCCCACAGCTCTCTGAATGATATCTTCAGGACTTATAGCCTAACTCCATACACTATCATGTCTTGGACTTCTCCCGTGTGCATAAAAGCTTAATCTTTTACATCTAAAAGAGAGGATAAGGGACACTTTTCCACAGACACGAGCTAATGGCTGGATTTTGATTAGTAAACACGAGATGGCATAACATGTGTGACCCCTTTGCCTACTCTACCTTAGCAGCTAAGTGCAATAAAAAAATACCACAATAGCAATTCAATAAATTATTAAGGAGTGCATTTGTTCCTTCACATACAACCTAAAAACGTATATAACATTATAACTCAGATAAAACAAACTAGCATATGTTCACAATTGCAGGCAGAAAAATAACAACCAACTCAGAGCCAAAAGGAAGAACAATAAAAACAAATGACAAATATAACTATAACTATAATTCTTTCTGGGAAAGAAAGTGGCACCTTAAATCCTGCAGGGCTAGGGCTTTCTAGAAACCCGTCATCAGATGCTAAACTTTGCTTGGTTCCTTCAGAGTCATTGTTTCTGATGGCATCACCACTGAGCTTCACATCTGCCGTTATGCAAACTGTTTTCTCAAAAAAATCAAGTGGAAACTCAGGATTAGAACCAGCATAAACTTTATTGCTAAGAATGCCAGATCCCAACTTTTTTGCTTGATCTGAAGTTACATTTGCACCAGCATCAGCCCCCACAGGAATATGTGTGTATATGTGAAGACTGCCATCATCATGTAAGACAAAACAGTGTGTTCTGTCTTTAGACAAAGGCTTGTAAGCACTTATCCCAACCAAAGGCAAGGCTGAGCCTACTGTCTGTCGCATATTCTGAGCAACCAATTCATGAGAGCCCATTGAAATGGTAAGTGCCGCATTTGATTTCACACTTGAGAAGCATATGAACAACCCACTGCCCACCAATAACTCTTTCCAATGATGCAGTCCTGATGGTCTCCTGCCATCTTGTTCATCCTCATAGACAGCAGAAATCTCAGTTAGAGATGTTGCATTAGCATCTAACCGGCCAATCAAGGTAGTTCCATCAAGATAAGATATGAAAAGCAATCTGTAAGTCAATGAAAAATACAAAGAAAGTCCTTTTGATTGAATGTCTTTATCCTGAATCTGGATGATTTCCTTCAGTGCTTTGGCACCAACATCACCTTTCATCAACAACTCTAGCCTGAACAAGCATCCACACTCAGATAAAACAAGAAGAAACAGCTTCCCTTGGGAAGCAACTACAAGAGTTGCATCCACTATTAAATCATCAGGCAATGTAAAATAGTGCATAGGGCTTATGTTATCCTGAGACAAATCATATATCTTGACAAACATGTTTGTGACCACCATTAGTTGAACCTGAGAACCAGGTACCCAATCTATCCTCCGTATATATGCACCTTGCAAAGCGAGTTCAATGGCAAGACGATCAGTCACCTCACCACGATGATTAACAGTAAGCACCTGGCATTCCTCATAGCCTGCTACAGCAAGATAATTTTCTACAAGTGGGTTGAACAAAAGATGTACAATTTCAAAGCGAATGACATTCTTTGAAATAGGCTTAATGTTGGTCTTATCTGCTGCAACAGATGCCATAGCAGCCTGTCCAATTAACTGCCCAACATCAAATATAGCAACTTTGTCACCCTCCCCAGCTGCAAGACGACCTCGAGTACTAATGCTTAGTAGAGATTTAATAAGAGAGCCACTGGCTAGATGGGATTTGAGTTCTCTTGCATTTGAATAATCTGCCCTGATCTTCATGTCTAGCGATCCACTTTTGTATGCTTTCTTCAACTGCAGAAGATCGACACCATAAGACAACATCTTATCTGCACCCAAGATTACCTTCTTATCCTTTGAAAGGTTGAAATCTCTTCTGCCAACTACAGAGGGCATCAATTTTCCACAAAGTTCAAGCAGCTGACCTTCCACATCAAGATCTTCAAGTAAAGCTGGGATTCCATCTTGTACCTCTTCCGGAATAGATAACTTGAAGGAATTCTCAATATCCACATAAGTATCATCATCCAGATCTGAATCACTATCTGGAAGTTGATCTCCATCCTCTGAGAAAGGTAGAAAAGATTGAAAGTTTCCAGAATTACGAACAGGTGCACTATTGCTTCCACTAAACTTTCGAGGCTTCAAGCATTGACAACTGCTTCCTCTAACACCCCCCGCTCCACAATCACAAAAGAAGCGACTTGAGCGAGAATATACAACACGATGACCACGGTGACAAACTTTGGCACACACAGAGCAACAACCTTTTGAAACAGTTAAATCACAAGTATAACAAAAATACCAATGTTGTTCCATGAAATTGCTTCCACTAGATGTAAATGTGCAGACTTTAGAGGCAAGCGCCCTCTCACTGTTACTATCTTCCTCGTCATCCTTGTCTATGCTAGCCAACTCACCATCAGAGGTACCATCATCCTCATCTTCATCAGCAGAAGTTGCATCACAATCAAGAGATGCAGATCCCCTTTCTTGATTGGCAGAAAGAATCAAAGTCTCAGAATTTTTTCTTGAACTTACTGGTCTAGAAACTAAGGATCCAACCCCAAGACTATTGCTGGACAAATTCTTTCCAGAGAACTTATCCAGGTTCTTACTAGCCCCACAATCACTCAAGACAGACCCAAGAAAATCAGAGAGAAACTTTAACCCTTGAAGAAGACTCTCATCACCAGCCAATTTCTCCATTAGCATCACAGTCTTCTTCAAGAGCTGCTTCATCAAGGACTCCCCATTTGAAAGTTGAACTATAAAATGAAAATAGATTTTTGCTGTATGAACATCATATGACATGAATGCATTATCAAGTGATGCCAGCATAGCTTCAACAAAATGCCTGTGGAGTTCCCTTGATTGCATATCAGAAGGTTGGAACACAACGCATTTAATAAAGTTCATTGTTGATTCCCTGAGTGGAGTTGCAAACCCAGCTGAAGGTTCCCCAGAGATTCCTAAGAGCCTCTTTTCCAACCAACTGGACAAGCATGGCAAATCCATTAAAAGAAACTTCTTTTGTACCTCCTGTTTGAGACCAGGACAAAGTTCTCCAGATAGAAGTTCAATAAAGAAATTAAGAACCTTCATATTAACTGATTCAGAGAAACATTTATCCAGTGCATCAATAAGAACCAACAAATTACCGCATTGCCCACAATAAAGTTCCTTTGCTCTCTCTGTCACCTCACCTTCAGCACCAACAAAAAATTTGAAAACACCAGTTCTAGAAGGGTCTTTTCTAAGGCCATCAAGAATTTCAACAGCCTTGGTTATTAACCATTCATGTACATCGCTGTCAAGTACTTCTCTAGAATTGGCATCCTTCAGAAACCCCTCCATGTGCTTCATCAGGAACAAGCAATTGTAGTCAGACCACTCTTGGCACAAACTCAAGCCATAACAAATAGCTTCACACTTCACATTAAGGCATTGGAAGATCCTGTCAGATTTAACAGTCATTACAGAATCAAGAAGCTGGCGAGTTACCTCAACCTCTAAGCAAATACTTCCTCCTATATCTTTAATTTTGAGCAAGCCATCAATAGCAGATATGATCCCTCTCACAGTAAGAATACATGAAAGAAGAACACCACTAGGAGTTTGGGAATGACATGGAAAACCATGTAGCAAACAATGCAGGAAAATATGGGCCATGTTCCCCAAACCTCTTATTGCAATAATTCCATCCAACTTTGATAAAAGGTCGTAAACAGACTGAAGCTGGCAGCAATCAAATCCACTCTTCTCAAGTAGCTCATCCTGTGCACATTTGTCAAACCCTGTGTGCTTGAGAAGCAACAGTGGTGAAAACCCATCAGCATGGCATATGCCATGATTAAAAGTAGAAATAAAGGCTTCTTGGTAACCCTGCAAGTATCTCTTCAACAAAGATGAGAGCACCTCTAATAGCCACACAATCTGATTGGTCTGAACTACCTTTGCAACCAGGCATTCAGCAAGAGTCAGAAACTCATTATCCTTGGATATGTGTGGAATCCAGAAAGTCTCCAATCCAGAGATTCCATGCTTTACAGAATAACCCCAGATACCAACTTCAAGGATGGAGAGTACAAGAGATAGCCATGCTCCATTCCTTAAGAAATCCCAGCCCAGGTCAGTAAGATTATCTGACATTGGCACAGCATGCAAGTGTTGAAGCAAACCAAGTATGGCTTCTGGCAAGCTTACATCCTTTCCGGTGACATCAGTGTTGCTTAGAAGTAAATGGCTAAAGTGAAAGAAATATTCCGTGTTTGATGTATCAAGCATATGCACATTGTTTTCAAAGGAAAGTACATTGCATGATTCAGAACCCATGATACCCCAACAAAGGGAAAAGATGTACCTTTCAAGCATGAGGTCTTCCACTGCTTCAGCTTTTTTACCTCTCCAAGACCCCAGAATCCATGAAAAGCAAGCATACATCTCATCCCAATTCAAACATAAGCTTTTAGCACCCTGATCATCTCTGCAAACCGAAACAGGAACTGTGGCAACATCAACCAGTTGATGAAGTAAGCTGCTAAGGAAAGGCTCTTCTTTCACACATTCACCCATTACATTCTCAATTACAATTGATGCCCATGATGGCATATAATCAGTTGCATAATTAGAAACACCAGATCCAGAAAAAGTGGCTGTTCTCATTTTGGATCTTAAATCAAGGAGTAACCAGGAAGGGCAAGCAGACGGACACAAGATCATATGTCGCAGAACCAAGATCAGCCTTGAAACTAGTAAAGCCCAGCATGACAGTTGCATACTGCTAAATCCAGCTGTAGGAGCTCTAATTGACAATAGTGAAGAAAACATTAATTTTGCAAGAGCCACCTTTTCTTCTTCAGCAGATAAATGGAATGCCATAAGAAGAATTTCAATGTGATAGATAGAAGGCAAGCTTAGAAGGAGTTCCTTAAGACTTGGACATTTAAAATCAACAGTCATTGCCTTCTCAACAATAAAATTTATATATTCCTTGTAAATTTTGGTTGTCAACTGGCTACGAGCCAAACCCATCCTGCAAATAAGCGTGTGAGCTAGTAAGGTGAGGGTGCATTCATTGTAGGCAAAGATGCCATTTTCCACATTTAGGATTTTATCAACAAGATGTTCTTCAAGAGGATCAGATAAAGCACGACGTGAAAGAAGAGAATGTAATAGTTCAAAGCAAACATCATTAATATGCCCAAGCTTTCTTTGTTGGGGCAAAGCTGAACCACTCTCAGAAGTCTTCTCTTCAGACAAAGAGGCAGGGCAATTAAATATGTTAAGCAGGAAGTCAATATGATTCTCATTAAGTTTCTTACAGGCATCCTCATAAAGAGAAGAATGCCATTCGGGAGAAAATACATATAGCTTTAGAAAGTTTAATAGTTCCATTGCTGCTTGGATTGGCATGTAGAAAAAGCTGGAGACACAACTAACTGCTACAGGAGGTTGATCATGTCCATCTGCAGACCCAACACTGCGACCAGCTTCAGAGAAAAGATCTCCAAAAAGAGCTTCATCCTCATGGCTAACTGCACTCTCTGGCTCTGAGGTGCCACCAGTTTTGACACAACTGGAATATGACCTCTCAACTTTTGGCCTTAGTTTCACACCTTCGGAATGGAGGAAAAATGCAAGATGCATTAAATTATTCACCCACTGATTTGATGGAGGGAACATTATTTTCAATACCTCTTCACATGTGTACTTTTTAAGCAAAGAAACCTTTCCGGAACGGACAGAGTATGAAATAATATTAATATCAGAAGCAACATTATGATCAAGAAATTCTGTATCAAACTTCTTCAAATCAAAAGACTGTGTTGTCCACTTCTTAACATCCTCTATTAGATTCAATAGTTGCACAACACATCGAGGAAAGTAAACCAATGGAGGCTTTGAGATAGCAGCAGACTTGTTATACCTCCATATATTGGATTCCAAAATGTTCAAGATAGAAGCCACAATACATATCTGGATATTATGAAAGACATTGCTGTTGCAGAAGACAACTCGGATAAACAGAAGAAACTCCTCCAACAATTGCAACATTAGACTCTCAAAGCCATTCTCAGCACCAGAATGATAATTTACAAACTCAAAATTGATACTGAACAAGCTAGGTAGTGATTCAGCACAGGATGCAACTGCTTGCAAAAACTCAGCATTATACTCAACACATGAGATGTCCCTCGTAAGATTTCCAAGTACATTTATAATTCTTGAGCATAGTAATAATTTTCCATGAAAAATGGCACCATCTGTCTGTTCATCAAATGCTTTCAGTGGCTCAAGGAGGTCTTTGAAGATTTTAATAAGGCGCTCTACACATCTCAGATGCATAACTGCCCAATGCTGACATAAAGAAACCATGTTATTCAGATCCTGACAGAAAGCAAGTCCAGTAAAATGTGTTTCATGCTTATCGGATTGCAGGCATTCAGAGGATAACGTCATTAGAACCCGATTCACGGGCTTCTCCACCCTTGAATAATTGATACCTTCTCCAAGAAGCATGAAAAACAATATCAGATAGAAGGTAGAGAACAAGAAGAAAGTAAACAAAAACAGAATAACAGACAGAGTTAACAAGTTTAGCTCAGGTACCTTGGATATTGCATGTAACATGTTTATCCAATTCCACCCCACCAGAATTAGATGCAACTACTGGCAACAACTCTTTAAGAGTACTTACAGAAATAGGCTGTGATGCATCACATTCCTTAACCATTCCATCAATTAATATCAATTCCAACAGTTGTGCCACATTATTCTGTAAGCAACATAATTAAAGATTAGAGAAGAGGCAAAACTTGGCCCTTAGACACCATAGCCACAGCTATTGCAAACTACTTTGGTAAACAGTAGATAGTTTGGAACTTAATCCAGTTAACAAGTCCATGCTTATACAGTTCTTCTTGAATGATAAGACTAACTTCTAAATAACAGTCAAAGGGTTGAAAAAAAAAACTGTTCATAATATAAAATAGGGTAAAAGACTTAAACATACCCTAAGTTTTAAAAAATTGACTTAAATATACCCTGGGTTTTTCAAATGAACTAAATATACCTTGTGAGATGACCCACTGGACCTAAACATACCATCCACTATTGAAACATTATATGTTGTTAGCATATGATGTCACATGATTAGTTTAATATTTTAAAATCCTACTTTGCCCTTTCTATTGTCTTCCATGTGATTAGGCCCCTGTATATGGTAGCATGTTGGAATAGCTTGTTTCTCTTTTCTCTTCCAAGACTTCAAACACAAATTTCTCGAGGTTGAACCAACAAAGTTTAACTAGGTGGAGGTCTCAGATCCCTGTTGAAGAGCCCATGAATTCCATCAATAAGGATGAGACAATTCCTAGTGAAAATAGAAACATAATCTCCGGTTAGGAGCTGAAAGGTGCTTTACATATTTTGAAAAGTGACATTTACTCCCAAACCCAGATAGAAAATACAAGATCTTAGATTTTTATATGGATTCCGTTTGAATAAAAGGCACTTATTTGCAAAAAATCCTAGATGGGAAAATCTATTCTTTCTGAATCATTTTATGGGTTGCATCAACCAAAAACCACTCTTCCCAAATGGAAAAGTTGGACTTTTTCTGATATACGACTTGGATTGCAAATAGTAGGCCTGGATCATGCACAGAGTAAACTCGTTAATCAACCCAAATGGGAAAAGACAACCTTTTTTGAGGTTTTTTGAGGATAAGACCTCAAGGAAATGGGAGGTGCAGAAGGAAGAAGAGAAAAAGGTGAGCTATAATTGCTGCACGACTTATATTGCATGATTGATATGAGAGCTGTAACAAAATTTGAATCAAACATGCACATCCAAATGGAATCTCTCTCCCTTGTTCAGAGCAATGAACCAAAAGACTTCAAGGAGCCAAGAGGATCTTTATAGAGAATATTCTTCAGTCAGGAGCTGTTACTTTCTTGTCACAGACGCTGAGGTCTGCTACTATCCATTACTTCCATGGGCCAAAGTTGTTGGTCACACAGTTAAAGATTTGAGGGTTCAAACTTATATTCTCCCAGAGGCAATTGCTCTAAGAGCTCTGAATCAGTTTGCCAAGATGCCACTTTTGTTGTTGGTGGTGGTGACAGGAAAGTTTCCAATAAGTCATGCTGATGAAAGGTGTGAAACATCTGGGGTTTTGATTCATAGGTGCAATGGCAAGGGAGATGAGGATGAAGAGAGATATTGTAGGGCAAATGTAGTTGAGCGCTCGGTCTTTCAGTCTTGGCCAAAGTTGCAGAGAGTTGCCAATGAAGAGATGAAAGAAAATGAGATGTTGCAGATTGGCATTAGCATCAACAATGGCAAGAAGTTGCAGAAAAATGGATAACATCATCTTCTACACCAAAGGGACAATGTTGTCTTTTTCTTATTGCCGTTTATGATAACAGAGACAAGGTATGTTTAAGTCCTACGAGAAAACTGAGGGCATGTTTAAGTCAATTTCTGAAACCTTGGGGTATGTTTAAGTCTTTTACCCTATAAATATATGTAGTAAAAAAACAAAGAGCAAAAAATAGTACATGTTTCAACTTTCAGGAAAAACCAACATAGTAAAAAAGATGGGATGTATTACCAGTACATGTTTCGAGTATTTTTTTCTGGGAAATGGTAACTTACATTAAGAACAGAAGGCGGGGATAATAAGGTGGATATACAAAAAGAAAAAGAAAAAAAGGCCACTCAGAATTTACATAGGCAGAGTATTCACGCTATACAAGAAAACTCTATCCACCCTCAACTTGGCAAGAATATCAGCCAAGAGTTTATTCCCTTGGGATCCATCTAAAGGACACAAAAAGCTCAGTGGAAAGCTCTTGGATCTCATTAACAAAACGAGTACATCTCCACAGCCCTGTGGCAGAACTAGATACCCAACTAATTATCAATTTAGAGTCACCCTCCATAGTAAAGGCCAGGCTTGAAATGACTTGGCAATCCTCAAACCCACTAGAAGGGCCACTAAAACCCCACAAGGTAGAACCATTGGCATCTAAAATTTGGCCCCCAGCTCCCATTAAAACCTCTGCAGCTGCTATCAAAATTTAAAGAGAAATCGCTGGAGGTTCTCATGTCTAGATGTAACTAAGGCTGAAGGTCAGCATCTGAATTGTGCAGCACTGCATCAATTTTCTTATTGATTTTTTTTTATCAATGCACCGTTAACTTAGCTTTATTTAATGATTTGGAACAAGATAATAATTTAAAATGGTGTGGCTATGCCAATTTTATCATTCTATATTTTTGCATATTTTACAATGTTTCCATCATGTTTATAATTTTTACAATATTTCCATATGATATTTCTGACATTTCCAACATGTTTCCCATATTTGAATGACTGACATTTTAAACCTTGTATAGGACTATGTCTCATTGAATGGGTTTTCAGTGCCCAACTGGATTTTCAATACATGGGTCTTGCCCTTGGAGGCAACCCTAGAGGTAGAACTTTCTGGGAGCCAGTGGTGCAGAAATTATCCTTGGGAGGTATGATTATCATTGTAAATCTGCACTCACAAATCTCTCATTCTACTTCATTTCTGTGTTTAGGATCCTTGTTGCAGTGGCTGCTAGGATTGAATGGATTATGAGGAACTTTCTGTGGGAACTCAGGGATGAAAAGAAAACCTATCAATTGGGAATTGGTTTGCAAAGATAAGTTGAGGGTAGGTTGGGGATGGATAGATTAGTTCAGAAAAATTCTGCTTTTTTAGATAAATGGTTGTGGAGGTTTCCTTGGGAAGCGAACTCTCTGTGGTACAAGAGTAATTATGAATATTCATGGTGGGGATGCTTTCTTTTCTCCTTCCAGATTGGGTTTCTCTTAGAATCTTGTCCTTATGAGAGGTCTAAGGGATTCAAATGTGCAGTGTGCTCATGTTCTTAATCTCTTGCAGCCTTGACAATCTTGGGCAATGCTTCTTTTCACAATTCATTGCTTGATTACGAGTAACAGGCTCAGTAGTACAAAGACAAACTGGCCCAAACAAATAATCAATGCATCACATTGATTTGTTTCAAACTGAAATAATGCCCTGGTTCACCCAATCCAAGCATTCCTTGACTGCTCTAGCTTTCTGCCAACACATCTAGCAGGTTGTTTGCACATCTAGGATAATCCACTTGAATGAGGTATTCAGGTTTTGACCTAGCAAAAGAGCCTGTCTTTCTAATGGGCTGACTTTCCATGGAATGTTCTCTTTTTCCTCCTTTTTTGGGCTTTGGTTTGCAGTTCTACTCCAGAAGCTTTTCCAGTCAAATCCATTTGGTTGGGCCCTACCCCTCCTAAAATTAGAGCTTTTTGTTGGGAAGTATTATCACATGAAAAATCAATTCTTGTGAATCCTTACAAAGGATTGCAGTTCTCCTCCTTCAGAAGCTTTTTCAGTCAAATCCATTTTGTTGGCCCTACCCCTCCTAAAATTAGAGCTTTTTGTTGGGAGGTATTATCACCTGAAGATCAATTCTTGCAAATCCTTACAAAGGATTGCAGTTCTCCCCCTCCACAAGCTTTTTCAGTCAAATCCAATTGGTTGGTCCCTACCCCTCCTAAAAGTAGAGCTTTTAGTTAGGAATTTTATCACCTCAAAATCAATTCTTGTTAATCCTTACAAAGGAGGAGATCTAATTACTACTTGTCGTCACACAAATTAATTCCTGGCAATGGTTTTGTGATCCTTTTTAGTTGCAGACTAGCAGGTGGACAATACTAATGACAAGTATACTCAAACCATCTTTCTTCAACACTAGATGGTGGAGAATTAAAGTCATGTGGAGATGTATGAGAGCTTCCATATTTGGATCCTTTGAGAGGAGAGAAATGCAAGGATACTTCAAGAAAAATAGTACAAAGGAAGTTTCATCAAGATTGTGCAAATAAGGGTGAAAAACTGGATACAAACTCTACAGATCTATGACTCATTCTACAAGGATGATATAATTAGAGGATGGATAATGTTGCAAGCTCTTGAACCTCAAGAACAAGAATCTCAATGGTGTGAGTCCCTCCAGACTGCAATCAGGTCAAGTTGAACTTTGACAGATACTGCATAGTGCATTGGTAACCTGGAACCATCAGGACGTGGAGGATGCTTCAGAGATAGAACAGGAGCTATTATTGCGACATATTTGGGATGTATAGTAGATGGTGACTCAACAAAAACAGAACTGTTAGCTGTTCTCCAAGGTCTGAAAATAAGCAAATACCTAAGTCTGCAGAATGTATTGGTTGAAGGAGATTCAAAAAATGTGGTGAGGTGGCTGAAGTACAATTGCAGTCAGACTTGGCAACATAGGCACACTGTTAAGGGGAATCAAAAAGCTAGTTAAGGGAATGGTTTTGGACTGGCATTGGACTTGCAGAATAGCAAACAAAGTAGCCAATTCCCTAGTCAGGCAGGGTTTTCGCAGGAATCATTTGTATTGGGGTGTATTGAACTAATGTAGTGTGTAAATAGTAAATGGGGGCAGGTAGTAATTAGACTACCAAAAAAAGTTGTACTTAAATTTTTTTACCACAATTAATAACATTTTATTGTTACTCATCAAGAAAAGAACAAATGATAGGAAGTGGAACTACTTCAAAACATTAGGAAGGAGTTACTTCATAGAAAAAAGACAAAATAAAAAGGGTCATTGTATAGTACTTTTGAAACTTTTTTGTAACAGTAAAAAGGAAATCAGTAGTCTTTTTACAAGACATGAACCAGAAGAGATGGATGCAAGCACTAGATCAGTTTGTTCACTTTGTTGTAGCAGATAGATTCTCTTTAGCCTTCTACAAGAATTTTTGGTACACAATTACAAATTACTTGATAAGCATGTCTAAGGAATCAAAGATAAATGCAACTTTCATCTTCCTCGTCCCTAAAGTTCAAGGAGCCTCATCCCTAAAGTTTAAGCAGAATTTCATGTATAATTGACTATCATTGACTTTTCGTTATGTATCGTAGTGCACATCTCATCATTGGAGAATACTGGGGCAAGAGACATAACAGAAATATGGTATGAATCAGTGAAGAAATTCTTAGGAACAAGAAAAAAGGATTGGAAACATTGTGTTGAATTGGGCAATATATGGTACAGATTAATTATGAAGTTCTAATGGTAAAACTTAAGCAGACAATCCGGACCAATCGGTTTTACTTACTCAACTAGGGCTGAAGTGTTGGCTGCTCTCACAGGAAAATACCATCAAATCGCTAAGGGACAAGGAAGGGGATCCTTGGAGGTTAAGCCATTATTTTTGGCAGAAGCAAGGAATTCCTTAGACAGCTTAAATGCAAACCTGTTTTGTATCCCGAGGGAACTAAATCCTATTGCAGATGGCTTAGCTAAATTGGGTGCTTGCTTAGAAAATCTGTATAGTGATAGGATTCCTCCTTTGCAATCTTTGGGGTTCTCCCCTGCTTTGTACATCCTCTCATGTACTACTCCCTTTTATTTTAATAAAATCTGATTAAACTTTTCTCATAAAAAAATCACTCATGAATAAACTCCTACAATAAACAATACGAAATGATTACTTGTCCCTTAATACTACAATAAACAATACAATATGGTCCTTTCATTCTTCATAGAAATTAAAATGATGTGGCATAACTCAGGGTACAAGTATTGTTTCTAAAGCATCTGAAGCCTCAATCATGGCCCAAAAGCTGAAGAGGTAATTAAATCTGTAAAATGGTTTACTACATAACAAGTCATAGATATTCAAGTTCAACATGAAGAATGAGCATCCACATCTCTGCAGACAAGGAGCTTTTGTTCTGCTACATTGATAAGAGACACATTACGAATCAAGTTATTTGCCAGAAACCTGCTTCCAAGATTTGCCACAAGTATCTCAAAAGTTCAGCAGCATTTCTCCTTTTGTGTGATACTGTGATGGCTTTATTGGCAATTGAGATAGCCTTGATTAGATAGATAGATGTGATATGTCTGTGAGCCCTTAAAGTTAAAAGACTGATTGATTAACATGAAGCCCCTGCCTCCCTTAATGTTGGCATCTATGTGTATGTCTAGGTTTTCCCATATTCATGGTCATAAGCTTCGCGTTTCTTCATACTTCTGTCTAATTCCAAAAAAAAAAAAAAAAAAAAAACCACCCTAACTCCCCACGTCCACCCCAAGTAAAGGGATAAGAAAAAGAGTTCACCGAATGGGCGATTAGTAAGAAGGAGGAAAACCAATAACTGAAAAGTAAGATAAAGATCGAGATTTATATATCAAGTTATCAACATATCAACAAAGACGGGACATCCATAACCTCCATGAGACCTTTATATGCAAACCAACTAAACTAGATATCAGCCGGGAAAAAAAACAACCAAAAAAATAATGAAATGTTGCGGGCACCGGTAAAGAATCTGGAATCATTTGGGTCATCATTTCCAATCAAGCAACTTCCCATTCCCCGTCAAGTGGAAGAACAATTTACATCACTTAAGCGTATATGCAACCCAAGGGCAACGCAACGATTGAGTGAAATGCGACAAATGATTGCTGACTACATATAACTATGATAAAAAAAAAACGAAAGAAAACAACTTGTCTGACTTACGAAAAGACAGCTATATACCTGAAGACTAAAATCACCATTTCCAGCCATCAATTTCTCCAGACAACGAGTAGAGAACTCGAGTGACTTCTCGAATATAGCAACGATTATTGGCTCCGCATTTTCAACTGTTCGCAATGTCACAAAAAATAAACAATAAGGCCACAATGGAGAAGAAGAAGAATACGAAGAGTATCATAAATAAAGGAAAATACTTAAATCCAATCAAAATATAGAAGTTCAAGACAAAAATGACTCTTTGAAAAATCAAGGAGACGAATACAGTACCGGAAAGAGATCGAGTTGCAGAAACAATTGACTTGGCAACCGATACCACCGCCTGAATCTGCAAGTGGTTCCAGGTCTCGAGCCCTAACTTTCCATCTCCGATTTCTTCAATTCCTCCTGCGAGGATCGAATAGAATTTCTCGAGACCTGCTCTGATCAAATCGGAGTTAGGCCTCTTGAAGAGATCTTTGGGCGCCTTCTCTTCGTGGAGAAGTTCCACGAGTTTGGCGACTTCAGCCATGACAGCCGAGCAGCAAAACTATTGGAAGTATGTACTTGATCAACACATTCGTAGTGTGATCCCCCTCCGGAGTATAACAAGAGTGAAGAGTCGGAGAATAGCCGCTAATTAGAAACTTGTAGAAACGAAGATTTTTTTTTTGCGGAATATTTAGGTACCGGAGAGAGAGAAAGGAAGGGCTCTTCAAAATGGTCCCGTAAGGCAGACGATCGTTGTTTATGGATTGCTTTACTTTTACGTCATTCTAGTTTTATGTCGGTCTTTTTTGGTCCTTTCGCTTATTTTCCTCTTATATTTTTTAAATTGAAAGTTAATTGATGAAAACCATTATTAATCCGACCGTCCATCTCTCAATCCACTTTATAGGTTAACATGATGATCTGACTGAGACTGTTAAGTTGACATGGCCATGTGATTTGCACCGCCTTAATTTGCCAACTGGCTCAGTGGAGACTAGGGATCCAACCCCGATCCCGCCTTACAAAAAGCCTTCGAACTCCGATCGATATACCTATAAACCTCAATCTGTAATGTGGACCGGGCCGCCCCACGCACAGCTTTGGAGGTTCAGGCGCTGGGCCGACACGGAGATCGACTTCAGTCAGTATTGTAAAAGGCTGTTAGAAAGGAGTGGGCACAGGTTTGCCGTGATAGAAGCCATTTCCTCGACACGACCTGTATACTACGGTATTCAGGTCGTGTTAGATCAGGCACGATATAAGGTTCATGAGGTGAAGTAGGTGTAAATGGATCGAATTAGGTAATATCTGAATTGGAATCCGATTAGAAAATTCAATATCTGATGGATATTAAAAATTAATATTCAAATTCGAATTGATTAAATATTCGACTATTCGATTTGATTTGAATTTGACTAATTAATAGTTTATTTTTATAAAGTATATAAATATAAATTATTTATATAATTTAATCATTATATATATTATAAAAAAGCATTTAAATATTTTATATGTTATATATGAAAAATAATTGGTCAAATTCGGATATTTATCGAATTGAATCAGGTCATACCCGAATTCGAATCCGATTAGCTAATTAGTATGAATATGATATCCAAATTCAACTGATTACAATATTCAAATTATCTGAATTCAATTTGATTATGTAGAATCTCAAACTCAAAATCTGATTTTTGAATACTATTGGCACCCTTAGGTTCATGCATGTGTGCTAGTTTAACATGGCCCACAAATATATATACATATATATATATAATGGTGTGTATTAAAAATTATACATAATAAAATTTTATGTTTTTTTTTCAATTTGTCGCCTGCCTTGTTAAATTTTTTGCTTTTTTATTTTCTTAAACAAAAAAAAGAAAAAAAAAATCATGATGACCTATGGCCCAAGCCCACACCAATCTCCCTCAGTCCCTCTTTGCGCATTCTTGCCAAGCAAGCATGGCTACTATAGTGTGGGCAGCCAAAGTGGATCATGCCAGCCTAGGCCCACATTACATTTATAATCCTCACAGAGTGTGCCTCACACCAACCTCACGGTTCATCTAGTCGTGCATTAGGAACACCAACCTCACATTAGAAATTCACTTAACCATACTTCGAGGATTTAAAGTGAAGTTAACATATATTATGACTACTTGATTTGACTGAACAATTAAAAGACTCTTTTGCCCTTGTTATTCTTCGAACTTTCAAAAAGAACCAACAAGAAGAATAATCCATCTTTACTCTCTTTCATCTGTTAGACACCTTTCAGTGAAACACTTGATTATTCTCCATGGAGTGCAGATCTAGGCAAATAAGAAGAAGAATAGCAAAGAACTAGTCACATGTATGGCTTCATCAAGGTTAGCAAGCATTCAAGAATCTTAGTTCAAGAGCTAATAAATTATAATGCATACAACCAGTTTTAATTAAGCAATTATAGAATTGGAATGTGCATTCTGTCATTTTAAAAGTTGTATTTGCATATAAGGCTCAGCTTTGAAATAGTATAAATACAAATATGTACAATGCATATACATATAAAATAATACAAATTACAAGGTTTCGCACTTACGTATTTGCATTTGTACTCTTTCCAAAACGAGTTTAAGGCTTAGTTTAGAAGGAATACAAATACAAATATGTATAGTGTAAATAGACCTGTTCATGGGCCGGGCCGGCCCGACCCCTAGACGGGCTTGAACATGCTTATGGGCCTGCGGGCTTAAATTCGGGACAAAAAGCCCGGCCCGCAATAAATTCGAGTCGGGCTCGGGTTTTGACAAAATAGCCCGGCCCGAGCCCGGCCCGGCCCGACCTAATATTAAACTTAAAATTAGTTATGTGATTATGTCTGTTTGAATAATTTTTTTCGATTTAAGAATGCAAAATTGTGTTTTAAAATATAAAAGAAAGGGAAAAATACCATCTTGTAGGCCCATTGTTCATTTAAATAGAAAAAAAAATACTATCTGAGTTTTTAATTCTAATTTGAATAGGGAAAATTGTTTTTTTTTTCAATTAGGTCGGGCTTCAGGATCGGGTTTCGGGCTTTTTACCAGGGCCGGGCTTGGGCCCAAGTTATAGGCTCGTTGGTCGGGCCGGGCTCGGGCTCGGGCCTAGTATATTTTCATTAGTGACAAGTGAAAGCCCGGCCCGGCCCGGCCCATGAGCAGGTCTAAGTGTAAATACATACAAAATACAAGGTTTTGCACTCTATATTTGTATTCATTCCAAACTGAGCCTAAACAAATTTAAGATTTTAAACTTTACAAATAATTTTAATTTTTCTAAAAACAATTATAAATTTAAAAAGTTACATAGTGCACACAAATAATTTTAAATGGCATTTTAGTAGTCTAGGAGGATATCTCAATTGTTCTACAAACAATTATCTATATATATAGTGTGGATGTAGTGTGAAACTTGTTGGGACTAAAATTACCCTATATTTCTTTGTTTGAGAAAGGGTATAAAAGTCATTCCATATGTAATGGCTACTAAAATGGCCATATTTGTATATTTAATCCATCTCTAATTATAATGGTTAAAAAAGTAAATTCATTTATTATTTTCCACCTTATTTAATCCCCTATCATTAAGTCTTATACTTAAGGTATTAAATCCCATTTTCTCTTATTAAGACATATATTTTTAAGCTATTATTCACTAATAAATGCTACTAATTAGATTTATGTCAATATTTTTTAACAATATAAACTCATATATTTTAAAACTGACTCAAAAAACAAAAACATTATTTATCCAAGTAATGGCTAAGTAATTCAACCATCCAAATCAAACTAATCAACCTATGAAGTCATAGTTAGGTGATAAAATTTTTAAAATATAAATAAAAATATAGTAAATTATAGAAACATTTGACATATTTATGATATTTTCATTAATCAAATTAAAAAATAAGTGTAATAAACAATAATTGTTTTTATTGATAATGAAAATGAAATACATAATTTGGAACTAACCAAAAAAATGAAATGTAAAAATTAATAATAAATAGTTCAACTTTTTGGTTAAATGTATTAACCTTTTATGTCATAAATAAAAAAATAAAAATTAATAAAATATAAAAATACATAAATTTTGCAAAAAAAAAGCATTCAAACACATGTATAATATCATATATTTTTCATATTAAACAAAAAGTAAGTGTATCATAATTATTTTTACACACAAAAATACAAAAAAAATGAACACATCTATAATTTTATATTTACAATAGTATTAAAAATATGAATAAGATTATGGAACTTTCTTTTGACTAAAATCAAGGTTTTAAAAATCGACCAAAAAACGAAGCCGCTTTGGTTTTTGATTTCCAGGTCAGTGCAACTATCTCTAGTTTGAGCGGATCAACCTAGTAAAATGCAAAATATAATGTAACTTTTTATTTTGACTATTACATTATGATTAGGTTAAAGTCCACCATATATATATACATTATTATGAGAGAGGAGTGTGAGACTTTGAGAATGAGCAAGTTGGTTAAAGTTGAGAAGTGAGAAAAAAAAAGAAGAAGAAGGAACCACTAGTGACAATTATCTCCATGTTCATCATAATCGTCGCTACAACACCATTTGCCCTCTTCTTACATCTCTCTAAAGCTTTTTTAGATCATAAATTGTTTGCTTCAATGGTGTATCTCATATTTATAATATAAGATCGGTGTTTATTCTCACATCTCTTGCATTGATTTTTTTTTTTTATTTCTTCATTGGAGTTACATTTTTGTGATGTTGTTGTTACAACTTAAAAAGAACCACATAAATGAAAAAAAAAACTCAAAATCAAAATGGAAAAACTAAAACCCCTAACTAATTTTAGCCATTGGGAATAACTGAACAAGATTATGAGATATTAAAATTTTTTTTCAGATTTTTTATTTTCTAATTTTTATTTTAAAATAAATGAAAAATTTAGAATTATTTTGAAAGCAACATGAAAACTGCTAACCAACCAGGTTGAACATTTTAATGGTTAAACCATTTGGGTCAGCGGTTATTTGACCATTTCATTTTTTTTTCTAAAATAGTGGTTCATGGCCAAAATGGAACCGGTGACCTTATTGGTTCATGGGCCAAATGGTTCAATCATCCAAGTCAAATCCAATTTTTAAAACAATGACTAAATTACTCATTTTTTAATTTAGTTCATAATTAATTGTAAGGTTTAAATTGTAAATTGAACCACTAATTTTCATCTCATTCAATCCCCTCTATTTAAATCTTTACATTTTTTTCGATAAATGGACAAAATAAAAAAGTATACCAAAAAGATAAAACACTACAAAAAGAAGAATCTAGTCAAGCAGGTAGGCTTGTCAATGATACTTGAAACTTCATAATACAATATAATTATCACATATTTGGGTGATGTGTTTATGTAATTAGATTTGGATTTTGCAATCATCATTTGGTTAATAATAAAAAGAATAAAAATAAAAATACATAAATTTGTAGAAATTTGTTGATATATTATTATTATAATTATCATCATATAGAATTACCACATGCACACTTACTAGTAAATATAAAAGTTAATTGCATAGTGCATACAAATAATTTTTAAATGACATTCTATCATTCAACAAGCATTTTTCATTTTTTATACAAAACAATTATAAATTTTAAAAGTTGTATAGTTCATACAAAATAACTTTTAAATGGGTAGACAATATGAAGATAAGGTTGT